TTAATAATGCTACTTTGTAGGTTTGAAGCAGGTAGATGGACAACTAATCAAGCGTTTTATTCTGAGAATCATATATTCAGGTACAATAGACCAAAATCCGGGCATGATACGCCATTGTAAATTAAATTAACGGAAACCCGTTGCTTTCCTGCTGCTTCGGTGTTCGTGTATTTAAGAAATCAGTGCAGTTCAAAATCTCATTTCGAAAAAAAAATGAATATGAAACAAGAGTCCAACGCTACCAATATTTATTAGGGAAGCGCAAATTTGCGAAGACTCTGGACAGTTTTATCTGATAGAAATTAAATAAACAAGCGTCACACCTCTTACGTTTTATATATATATTATTATGTTTCTGTACCTCTCTGGCGTCCTGCATTCTTTGAACTTCTATAGCAATATATTCTTCTATTCTTCTTCTGTCTTCGGCAGATAGATTCCTCAAAACATTCTCAATAGCTTCTCTGTGTGGAACACGATCATTTATCTGTTAAACCAGTGGTTCTTAAACCTTTACAAACGTGTCGAACCCCTATGGCCTATGTTATTCTGCAAGCTTCCGTCGAACCCCGACGTTTTGAACAGTTAAAACCAGGGGCGCAACTAAAACTTTATAAGCGGGAACATAAATTGCAACAAGAGAACCATTAACTCCACCCGGTCATAGGACTAAGTGCATTTTTTGGTTAACATTTTTCTCGAAAATCTCCTCGGAAACATACACTTTGTCGAAATAACCATTGTTATATTTCACAAAGGCGTAGGTGGCAGGGGACTTGTTGCTTTATGGTGTATGAATAACTTGTGTGGGCGGAGAGGGATAGGGCAAAAAAATGCAACATTAGAGAGTCGAAAGCTGAAACAATACCCCTAGAACAGAGGTCACCGAACCTATTTGACCGCGGGCCGGTATGACTCGAACTGTGTTGAAACGGGCGGACAAATATTTTTGTCAATGCAATGCAATAAATTCACAAAAGTTGGAAATCCATTTAATTTATTCAACAATATATATTTCTACATTTCTGAAGACTGGAATTATCAATATAGATCGAGAATATCCTAGGAAAACAACATTACAAAATTTCTATATCTAGAAGCTATCCTGAGTTTAGATGTTATCAAAACGCTAACGTGCGACAATTTCGATGAAGTGTACTGGGATCGATCATAGTCAAGGCCACAAAAACGTATATCTGTGCGCGAAACTACACATAGCTAAGATATTTATTAGTTGAAGTTTGAATATCTGCTGTGAAAATGAAGTTATTTTCAAGTAATTATCAGGTTGGATAACAGAAATAACTTAGTGATATACAAATGTTTTAGAGCAGTGATTCCCAACTGGGCGATATCCCCCCAACCCCCCCCCCCCCGGTGGGCGAAAACGATACAGAGGGGGGGGGGGGAGAAAGTCGAAGGGGGGCGATTTTCGCAAAACCTGGTTTTGTTGGCGCATCGTGCACTTGATTACTATACTCTGCGTGTTTCGTAGGTTTGAAACACATGGGAACTATCACACACGAAAGATTGCTGGACTCGTTTTCACCGTAGGGCAAGGTAGTTTGCGTATCCCAGTGGTCAGCAAATACGGCAGGAGTAAAATAATCTGGCCGGAACGCTTCGCTGGATGAATATTTCCCCCGACCTTCGACCCGGAAAATTCTTCCTATACTTTGCCATTTCAAAATTTTCGGTGCTTATTTTAGGAGTGGTTTTCGCGAGTTGTCGCCTGTAAAATGGGGTATTTCAAACTATCGTTCTAATTTATACCATTCAACAATCTATTTTTTAAATTACCGGTAAAGAATTTTAGCCTAGTCTATCACAGCTATTTCTACTCTAATTTTTGATTACTGCAATTAAACTGAAACTCCTGGGCAGACAAAGTGATCATTGAATTATTCGATTTTTATTTAAATTATGAAACACAACTAAAAACAAATGAATATAATTCAAAAACCGAGAAATTGAGGTAATGTTTACGACCACGCATGAAAATCTGTCTGAGCGAGATAAGCGTCTGAGTGGATGCAAGAGGGTGCATACTTACGTTTATTTTTGCATCTTGCTGATTGGCCAATGTCACGAAGTAAACAAACAAGGGTGCTCCCGAAGTATGCGAACCAAGATGGCGGACATCGGAACGTAACATGGGTAACAGGTTAGGGTTAGGCGATAATTTTTTTCCAATTTTCCTTTATTTAGTCCTATTATCAGTTCGAAGACTAGCCAAGAGCCTCCCGAAGTATTATACCTAAAATTATGGCCTAACCCTAACCTAGTACACATATTACATTCCGATGTCCGCCATCTTGGTTCGCATACTTCGGGAGCCCCCAAGGAAGTCTATACCCGGGGAAACATTCAATATACAGACAAAACAGCGTTTTGACGATGAATCAAAACATTTTTTACGTAACAGAATTTATCGTGAGACAAGTTTAGACTAAATTATATTATATCCTAACAATTTAGTGAACAGCTACTCGTTTAACGAGCCTACAATTCAAATACAATTAGACAAATGGCAACGCGCAGAAAAGTTGATGCTGAGTGCAGGGGTTCAATATCGCAGTAAATATTCAAATATATTGCAATGCAATGGGGAAATAAAATTTATATTCTATTCGAGAGATTCATCACTGCTTAATTTTTGTAAGAATGTAACTTTTTGAGGAAAATCTTTATCAAAATTTCACAAACCATGCGAAAATATTCACTTCGATGTTTGGATGTACATATTTGTGCCGCTTGTGCGAGCAACTATTTTTGAAAATGAACATTACAAATAACAACAGAGCTATGCTCAAATATATGGACACGAAAAATCCATCTTCAATCGCTGAAAATTTCAAAGCAATTAGTCAGGAGGGGGAATAGGGGGGTGCGCATTTCCAATACGTCGATATTATCTTTGTCTTTGCGACCGCCGTGTTTTGTCTGTTTGATTGCTGTGATGCGGTGCTTTGTTTTATAATTTGACGAGTTTTGTTCGAAATACAGAAATAACCGTGTTCTTAAACTGTATGACGGTCAGAAATGCAATTCTCGACGCAGCAGAAACGATGTTCAAGACTTGAAATCCGTGGTCGCACACTAGTCGGTCGCAAATACGTCTTCTGAGTGTCGTACTTTGGTGGTTTATATAGAGGACTTGCACGGGTCACGTGACTTTGTTACTGGACGGCAATAAAACAAAAACGTCCATTTGGGCTCCTGTCAGTTGCAAGTCGGATTATACGTTTCCGTTTTGTTTGGCTGTTGAAAATTGTTATTTCGTATTGTTCCGTTGGCCTCACGTATAGTATAGACAACGAAATGGATCTTCAGTTATAGAGAACTTGCACGGGTCACGTGACTTTGTTACTGGACGGCAATAAAACAAAAAAGTCCATTTGGCTCCTGTCAGTTGCAAGTCAGATTATGCGTTTCCGTTTTGTTTGGCTGTTGTAAATGGTTATTTCGTATTGTTCCGTTGGCTGTACATATAGTATGAACAACGAAATGAATCTTCAGTTATATTCCACTGAAATGCAAATTTTCTTGATTGTTACTGGACGGCAATAAAACAAAAAAGTCCATTTGGCTCCTGTCAGTTGCAAGTCAGATTATGCGTTTCCGTTTTGTTTGGCTGTTGTAAATGGTTATTTCGTATTGTTCCGTTGGCTGTACATATAGTATGAACAACGAAATGAATCTTCAGTTATATTCCACTGATTTCAAAAGATCCGGAACGTCGCGCAATGTGGATATCATCTATTGCCTATTGGCAGAACTGCTTGGTGTCAAGTCCAGAAGCCATCTTACTTGTGTTTCACTGTTTGCGGACAGCACCTCGTTGATGGTGATAGTGTGCCGTTATCAATTTCTTTAAATATTCACAAGCTCCCTCATTTCAATGGAAAGCAGATGGCAAACTACTGTTATTAGTAGGCCTAGGCGTGGGCCTACTTGCAGTTGCAGACTTGACTTGTGTAAGACAGTAAGGAATTAATAATCAATTGCTATAAGGTATTGTTTCCCTAAATAGCAGGTAATCTATTACTAAGTGTGAAAGGTTGAATAGATAACTAAAGTTTAACACCAGTGGTCATGCAAAAAATAACCAGAATTCAATTGAATTCGCCATCTAGGAATACGCTCGCTACCGCATCTCTGATCACCCTGGTAGTTTCACAGGTTTCAATCCCATGCGGGGATAGTTATGTGCGAGAGGATTGCAGCTCTACTCCCACCGAGGGTGGTTCACATGACCGCTGATCGGTTACGACCATTCCCCACCATCCAAGTCCATGCTTCTGAAAACAAATAACTGGCTCCCCCCCCAGATAAATCCTATCCTAATGGTGCTTGTACAACTGATCCAAAATGTCTTGCTACCCGGAATCAAATTCATTTACGACTAGTGGCTGTGGTGGGGAGTCTAAACTTTTATTTGAGCTAATTTGCAAATGGTATTCATGGTACCAAATGTATCACACACTTTTCAGTAATTATGAATTATATTTGAAAAATAAAGCACATCAAAAATGTATTTTTAAAAAACAATTGGCTTTATCTGCAGATACTAGGTTGATATTGAGATTGACCATTTCAATGCCAAATTTTCTTTAGTCAAGGCACACTTGATTCGCTAAGATTTGTGAATGCGCACAGTACACCAATTTGTCTAATGTTTTAATTCCATAGGCAGGAGGTTGTGGAACGGTGCTGCTCAGGATGGGATATTTTTGCCTCTAAATGCATATTACGTGATTCACATGAATCCATCGTGCTCAGATTCGACTGTTTTCTAGGTCTGAAGGCTCCAACAGTCTTATTTTATGGGTACACAAGAGAATTTTCAGTGTGGCATGCATGGGTCAGTTGCAGTCACTAACCTCAAGATATCTATAAGCAAGGATAAGATAATAGATGATATCCACATTAAAATTGTCAACAGTGTGCTATGGGATGTGTAAGAATATTCTAAATAATATCAGCCCCTGGTAACTTACCACTGTCCTGATATTTTCCGATGCTATAAATCCGTTGTATTGCATAATGATCTGGAACAATACAGTTACACTGTTAAATATATGGGGTTGTTATATATTGTCAGCTCACCACGTGCTAGCTCGAAAATAGTTTTTACGATTCTCAAAGGAAAAAAATAGGAGAATAAAATGACCAGTTTACTACTCTGTGATCCCGACTTATAGTCAGTATATATAAGTGGGTGAAGGTGAATATTTAAAAAACTCAATCCTATTATAACTCATTGAACTCATCGGAGTTATTTATTAAGTTGGACATGCTCATGTTTGCGAAATGAGATGATATAGAGAATGCTATAAATAATATTTACCTTGGTACCCAGCTCATCCAATTCTAATATTTGATTCGGTATGTTGAATATTTGAATGGAGCTTAGCATTGCTGTCCAAAGTAGAAGTTTATTTGCCTTCGGCTTATCCAAGTTTCTTGAAATTTGAGACACAATGAAATATACTTTCATCTGCGAAGATATTGGATGTCAGTCGTAATATTGCTCTAAAAATCCGTGTCTCTGGTCCCTACTTACCCTAACTACACGTTACAAATTTAACCAATGTCCTGTTTCCAATTATCGGTTATATTTTCTATTTTTACAAAGCTTAACTAATTGTTGACAGCGGATTAAAATTTGAGAAGTGATTCCTACATAAATACGCCAACATGTCATAAAAAATCGGCGCTCCCGAAGTATGTGCACCGTGCAAAATATTCCGTAGGTGCAATAGCATACAGGTGCAATTGTCATGGGTTCAAATGTACGTGGGTCAAATGTAATGGAACCAATTGAAATATTGTTGGCTGTATAGTACAGAAGCAATGGCCTCTAGAAAACGTCTGGGAAACTCCAACATATAAATTACAAGATTTCCAACCCTAACACACATTTGTATTACTATCATATAAGTCGTATTTAAATCGATGAAAAGTGGTTGAATCAGGTAGCACTTTAAACATTTTGTGTCCACTCCTAAAGTCCACTTACGTGCTCAAAATCCACTGTTCTTCTAAGTGTAATAATATAACCATTATCGTGGTCTCTGATTGCATTGTAATCAAATATGTCTTGGTCTCTCAGTTCCATCTAAAGTGGAATACATTCAGTTTTTGCTGGGTCCTAATATCGAAGACAATAAAAAAATCTGTAATACTGTGAAGACATAGCTGGCCAAATTTGTCTTTCTTATGAAATGCCCATAACATATCCACTAATTGTTATATTTCCACAACCCACTTTCGTTATTCACATTTCCAGATATTATAATGCTGTCATTTGTAACTCAAAGCTTTGAATAATCTATTATAATAATATCATGTTAATATATTATAACGTTTTATCACACTTGTCATTAGCCCACTACACGCGGTAAATTTGGAGGGCTTGGCATTTAAAAATATCAAGTTATTTTTCACCACTCTTTTGCGACCTTAGTATAATTTTTTATATTCGTATGTTGCTATCACCTGATACACCTGGCTTAAAATGTTGCCGCTTGTCCTATGTGGTTAATAAGTTAGTAGAATGAGGGACTGTGATAAAAAAAAGTTTTGGAATAAACACTAATTGAAATAAACCTGCTTTGGTCGTTCCAGATAAGCTGAACATGCTTTAGCAATCATAAATTTCCCGCCTCTTGGTGGTCCTACGATTGCCACAAATGCAATTGCATCGGCTCTAGCTGCACTTAAAAGCTCTTCTACTACATCCATACGCAGGATAAAAGACCCATCCTTAGCAATTTCAGTCAAATATATCTCCATAATGTTTGATACAGTATATCAATATAAACAGTACTTCTGAAAAAAAATAGCACTATCAAGATACAAAAAGTCATTTTGCGTCACCGACTGATTCTATTTGGATGAGTCGGAATGTTAAATCATAGCGTATGAACTGAAAACAGGAACGTTGTATATATATATATGTTTCAAAAACTAGGATTATGAAAATTATTCAAATCGCCGAGCACAACAGTTTATGATTTGGTATTGATTATAAGCGTTTTGGTTCGTTCATCGTTAATGAAGTTACACGCTGCATATCACCAGGTGGTCATCCCAGTCCAGCATCATTCGCGTATATGATATTCGAAAACTTTTCATTTTTCTCATTCTTGATTCTGGTATGTAACACTCGTGTTTATACTTACAATGGTATATTAATGCCTGCACTTGTATTTTAAATTTAGCTAAACATCTGCGCCAAACTTGATAACCAGCAGATCGTTGTTTTTGATTATGGTATCAGCAAAGATTTAGATTACTCTACATTGTTCGTGCCTGTAAAGAAAAGATGTTACATTATATGAAAACCAGCCCAATACGATAAACATTGAAACGGGAAAAATAGATTCCTATGTAAATTCAAGGTAATGTTAATTGCCCTATAATTCCTTTCGATATCTACTATTTATGCCATATTCGAATTTTTAATAAAATTTTATTGTGTGTGCTCTTACGTCGCGTGAGGTGGAGAACAATGACATAGTAAAAACATAAATTTATTACAAGGATCGTGTAAGTGTTCTACTGTGCTTCCTCTTTCGCCATACATACATTGTAAAACATATTGAAGCAACGAAATTAATCTTTTCACGAAATTTTTCTATTTGATATATATATTATGTACCACGTATACAATGGGCGATTGTTTGTGCAGGCCGTGATAACGTATTTGGAATAGGAATAAATATTTTTATAGATTTAACAACCCAAGCTTAAATGAAATAGGTAGATACAGATTTAACATTAAAGGCTGAAATGAAGAATAACGACAAACGGCATTTGCATAATAATTATCAGGTTTTATATCAATACACGTCTTCCGTCATTGATGAAATGGATAAGGCTTGCGTATTTTGTAATCGTTCATTCTTGTGAAATATTTCTACTTGATATATATAGTCTAATAATCCATTCAAGACAGAACCTCCGAGGAAGTTTGTTCAATGATGGGCGCGAACAACACCATGATACCACGTTCGAGTAAATTAGCTATTAGTTGAAAATAACATATTTTAAACACAAAATTGATGTAAATGTTAAGTCTCGCCGTTTCCATGATGTTTAAGAAATTCTCATCACTGGGTTCCCCTTTTGCTCCCACACTATAGCATGATGAGTTACCTTGGTAAAATGATATAAAATGTAACTCACTTTTTGTTTTTGGGAAAATCAGGCTTTTTTTTAGGATATTTGTTCGAAATTGCAACATAGCAAATTTCCTGGAGATATGGTGTAAAAATTAGTTTGCCAGTTCAGAAACTGTTTAAATGACACTTTCGATGAAAACAATAAAACTCAGAAGTACATTGAAAGTTGTCGATAAACACATTCAAAGCTAAATAAAATGACTTTTTGTCTGTTATTGCATGGATTTTTGTCAATTCAGACACTACGAGCTAACCAGCGAAAGAACAAACTTCAAAATGGAAAAATTTGATTTCAATAACGAATATATCGAGAGCTAACAGGAAATCTAGGTAAACATCTGGGAACAACAACAATATCGATTTCCTCTTAAAACGTACACAAAACATCACAACGAACTGACGGAAGATTGGGAAACTGGCTAAATCTTTGAATGATGTTTAGAACACGTAGATATAATACATTTGCCAAGCTTACGCACATTACACAGTTTTGTGTATTGGAGGTGCCAAATTTTTCTTTGTATGAAGACGTACCACGACTTTTACTCGTGGCTTTTGCTCCGAACAATATCTACTCGCGGCGCTATGGCTCATCGTGCTAAGCGCTGGTCGGTTACGGCTTCCTCCACCATCAAGTCCATGCTTCTGAAAACAAATAACTAACTAACTAATCCCATACCCGACACGGAATGGTAACCGGACGAGAGGCCGTGGTTCGCCATATGGTTGAGCCGATATCGGCTTTCCTCTCCCTGAATAAATATGTAATTCCTATCCTATCTTACAGAATTTATCCACTTCGCTGTCGAAGTTATTCAAGGCATACAAGCGCGCATTTCCATCCATCTCGGTTCTATCATTTGGTGAAAGGATTATTGAAAGAAGTTCAGGAAAAGTCAGTTTTTAGTAAATCGTTGAAGAATAGAGTAAATTGGTGTTGGAAAAGGCGTAGGATTTTATGATTCACTGCAAATGCCGCAAAATGATATTAGGCCCGGTGAGTTGTCCGTGTAGTCGAATTGTCCATCAGCCCTAAACGGCTATGACAGTCACTGTACCAAAAATTGTACCCCGATTCGGCTGGTGTTAAGTTTACGCATGTTATTTAGTAACGTTTTTATGTGAAATGTTTGACTGTGGTTCGGTACCTGATCCGATAATACGGTACATAATTGACTCATATCACGAGATATTTCAACTGATGTTTCAATTGCCACAGGACCTAAAATATCTATGACAGTCCCTGTACCGTCACGGTACCCCGATACAGGTACTGGTAAGTCACCGCCGGTATGTTAGTCGTTGGTCACCGCATATGATTTTTGGGGAATTGTTCTGCGTGTCCATATATTTGAGCATTGCTCTCTTGTTATCTCTTATATTTGTATGGATTTTCAAGCTTTTGACAGCTACGAGTTAGTTCAGTGTCACCGCGCTGTGTTACGGTACCAGAACTACTCTATCTTTAGAAGTTCCTGTCTTGTGACAGCGTGAAAACATTGGTCTGATATCCGCAGAACGTTTAGTGACGTCATAGCAAACAAAAACAAATCTTACAGACCTAACAGAAATATTTGAAATAAATAAAAGTAATAGCCTTCTGGAGAAAAATTTCATCTTCAACCACTGAAAATTTCAAAGCAATTAGTCCAGTAATCAAAGAGAAAAGCGACTTTTTAAAAACGTGTCAAAGAACAAGAACAACAACATAATATTAAAACGATCGTTATGTCCACTACGTGTCCAATAATTATTTAGCCATTGATTACAAATATGATTACTATATTTTTTCTAGCTTACGTTATTTTTTACAACTGCGACCCCACCGGATAAAAACATCACATCTTGGCAACATTCTTTTCAACTGCGATCACACCACGATGTTCATATGATGGTGACAGCATTCGGTTCGATTTACTCAGCAGAAGTCATCATTCACTCACTGATAGTGTTTAGGCAGGGGTTCCCAAACCAGGGGTCGCGACCCCAAATTGGGTCGGAGTGATAAGTAGGTACAGTCGCAAACAGGTCATGGGGTCGCTGAGGTAGGGTAGAGGATGGATGTACAAAACATCTAAGATTTGACAAACCAAGTTAAATTTAGCAGTTTGTACGGGCCCTACTAAAAAGGTAGGTATCATAGCATAGGTATCACTCACTAAAAAAGTAGGCATCAGTAGTAAATGACTAAAAAGGTAGGTATCAGTAGTAGATGACTAAAAAGGTAGGTATCAGTGTCTAAAAAGGTAGGTATCAGTGTCTAAAAAGGTAGGTATCAGTAGTAAATGACTAAGCGGACATCGGGTAACATGGGTACCGTAACAGGTTAGGGTTAGGCGATAATTTTTTTCCAATTTTCCTTATTTTAGTCCTATTATCAGTTCGAAGACTAGCCAAGGGCCTCCTGTAGTATTTATATTATACCTAAAATTATGGCCTAACCCTAACCTAGTACACATATTACATTCCGATGTCCGCCATCTTCTGATCTTGGTTCGCATACTTCGGGAGCCCCCTTTTTAGTCATCTACTACTGATACCTACCTTTTTAGTTATTTACTACTGATACCTACCTTTTTAGTCATCTACTACTGATACCTACCTTTTTAGTTATTTACTACTGATACCTACCTTTTTAGACCAAAGTTACCCCAGCCCACACTCGCTCAGCCCACACTCAGCCTGACGTCAAGGGGTTAACCAACTATTTTACTGACTTTATAAACGTAATTACATAAAAACTTGGTGACTCTGACAATATAGAGACCATATCTGATATACACAACGCAAATACAATACCAAGCACGGCCCAGTTACCCCTTGCATGGCCTGACAAAAACGAGTGTGGGCCAGCGTCACACGAGTGTGGGCTAGCGTCACACGAGTGTGGGCTGGCATCCCACGAGTGTGGGCTAGCGTCACACGAGTGTGGGCTGACGTTCTGACAATGTTTCACCGTAAGTTAAGGCATCCTAAACGTTCACAGATTACTAAATTACATATATCCATGTTTAACTCAGCGCCAGAACCTCTGAAAGTCCGGCAAATGATGGCACAAAATAGCCACAATTGCCGGGAAAATAAATCGAAATCAGCTGAACAATGATATCTCTAATCACTGTTGCCAGATATATAGGTGGACAAGCATGAATTCACAGGAAGGTTTCACAACAAAAAAAAATTATATCTAAGCGAAATACCAAACCTATTCATTTCCATCAATAAGAATGAGATATGAACAAATCGAATCTGATTTGCACAAATACATCTTTTAAAATAAAGATTGAACAAGCAAATTCAAAAGCAAATTAAGTAACATTTACCCAAAGAGTTACATTGTCTTGATGGCTTTGAAGTCTGATTTCGGCACTTCTAATACTTTGTACGCCATGAAATCGACTTATTACATTATATATCCAATTATCCAACAAATAACGAAAAATTTAAAAATTCTACCGGGGGGAAAGACTTTAAAATAAAAAAAGAATGTACCTATGTATAAAGATAATTCTATTTCCCGACAATGGTATTTTATGACAAAATGCAACAGAGAATTGAAACTTTTCTATTAATTTGTACATCACGACATTTGTTTAATATATTATATAGTGAATTATCTTACAAATACTAAAAAATAAAAAAAATTTACCTGGGGGAAAGACTTTAAAATAAAACCGGAATCTATCTATGTCTAACGATAATCATATTTCCCGATAATTGTATTTTATGACAAAATGCAACAAGGAATTGAAACTTTTCTATTTGTTTGTACATCACGAAATTTGCTTATTATATTATATAATGAATTATCTTACAAATATCAAATATTGAAAAAATTCTACCGGGGGGAAAGACTTTAAAATAAAACCGGAATCTACCTATGTCTAACGATAATCATATTCCCGATAATGGTATTTTATGACAAAATGCAACAAGGAATTGAAACTTTTCTATCAATTTGTACATCACGAAATTTGCCTATTATATAAATAGTGAATCATCTTATAAATACTGAAAAATAAAAAAATTCTACCGGGGGGAAAGACTTTAAAATAAAACCGGAATCTACCTATGTCTAACGA